CACAGTTGCAACACACACACGCACACGTACATACACAGTTACAACACATACACACACACGTACATACAAACTTACATACACACAAACCCAAATAACCAACAAACACACACACGTGCAAGTCATCTACAGCAGAACAAGGAAACAAACAAAAAAGTGGTGATGCGGTTGGCTGCTTCTCTCTGACCTTGAATTATTGTATTGTTTTTTCCTTAGTAAGTACACATACATACATACATACACATACATACATACATACATACATACATATACATACATACATACATACATGCATACATACTTACTTTCAAAATAGCATTCAGTTGTGTGAAAAAATGCCTAAGAAACATCAGCTGATAACTGTAAACAACATCAACTGATAACTGTAAACAACATCAGCTGATACCTGTAAACAACATGAACTGATAACTGTAAACAACATCGACTGATAACTGTAAACAACATCAGCTGATAACAGTAAACAACATGAACTGGTAACTGTAAACATCAACTGATACCTGTAAACAGCATCGACTGGTAACTGTAAACACCCATACTAGCTGACATCTGTAAACACGAAGGCAAAATGTTCAGGAAGTGTCGTGTTTCTCCCAGGGTGAACAAGGACACACACACACACACACACACACACACACACACACACACACACACACACACACACACACAGCGTTAACCTTGACCATTGGTATTCAGTCGACGGTGTGTAAGAGCGACTGCGAAAAAAAATTTAAAACCCGTTGAGAAAACAAATGGTAGTGAATAAATGAATAAGATTATTATTATTATTATTATTATTATTATTACTTCCGTATTATTATTGTTGTTATTATTATCATTTCCGTATTATTATTGTTATCATTATTATTATTATTTTCATCATCTACTTTCTATCACAAATCTACCTTCTACAATCTTATCTATTTTCTTATATCTCCGAATCTATTACCATCTATTAATTCATCTACTATCTACCTTCCTTATCTACCACTCCCTCATCTACCACACCGCCTCTGGTCAAAACTCCCACTGGGTGCAATTGTGGGAGTTGGTGGTTTACTGCCTGTAATTCTCGCCAAATTTTCTCAAGTTAGCCAATTTTCTCGCCAATAATTGATAACGGTAAACACAACGTCAGCTGATAACTGTAAACACGACGTCAGCTGATAACTGTAAACACATCAGCTGATAACTGTAAACACAACATCAACTGATAACTGTAAACACGACGTCAGCTGATAACTGTAAACACATCAGCTGATAACGGTAAACACGACGTCAGCTGATAACTGTAAACACAACATCAACTGATAACTGTAAACACGACGTCAGCTGATAACTGTAAACATCAGCTGGCAACTGCAAACACATCAGCTGATTATTGTAAACAAACCGAAAATTGATTTACTGTTGATAAGATGTAAACACCATCTATGTACCATTGTAAACCGCATCTGTAGACCAATGTTAACTACATAAATGTAAGGACTGTGTGTAAATACCGCACCTTTTGTAAATTTGTACCAATGAACCAATATAACCATAAACCCCGTCCCTGGAGAAAATGCTACACTGTAACTCCCAAAACTGTAAACATATGCACTGTATGCTGCACCAATGTAAACAATATAACTGTAAACTGTATCCCATTGTAAATAACACCACTGAAAATGTCCTCTATAAAGTGACCACTGTAATTACCACTGTAAACCGTATGTATCTTTGTAAAAAAACTGATAATTGTACTATTGATATGACACCATTGTAAACAACATAAATGTACCTGTAAACATAAATATTGTAAATTGCACTTTTGTAAATTGTATCACAGCAAACTTCTTCCTTGTAAACACGACCAATGTAAAATAAACATTGTAAATTTTATCACTATACACGGCACCATTGTAAACATGATCACTTAATTCCACCGTTGTAAACAGTCACTATAGAATGCACCATTGTAAACGAAATCACTATAAATTGTACCACTATAGTCACTATAGATTATACCATTGTAAACAAATTCACTATAAATTGCACCATTGTAAACACGACAAAAGTAAATTGTAACACTGTAGACGGGATCACTGTACAGGTATCTCGAGGCTATAGGTAACTACTGTAGGTACGAGTTAACGACCAGTACCGTAATCTGTACCACCACGAGACAGGTACACGTTGTATGTGTACCCTGAGAGATACACGTGTTGTCTCTCGAGTCAATCTTCCCTGAGAGAGACAGACAGACAGAAACCTCCTGTCTCAAGATCTTCACAATAAACCATCTCTTTCTCACTATCTCTCAAGCAAGGAGACAAAAAGAAACACCAAGATAGATACGTGAGAGACACCCTAAAGAGACATAGACGCGCGTATACGACACTGAGAGACACAAGAGCACAGTCTATCCACCTCACTGACTGTGCCAACACTGAAGGTCTTTCTCTCTCTCTCTCTCTCTCTCACAGCCGCCAAGACGGGGTTGCCCACTCACTCAGTCACCCCCCTTAACTCCCTTACCCACCCCCCCCAACCCACCTTCACACCCACCCTAATCCCCTACCCACGCCTCACATCCACTCTAATCTTACCCCCCCTACCCACCCCTATCCACATCTTCCCTTAACCCTTATTACCCCCTACTACCCTTACCTAGCCAGGCGTGCCCAGGGGAGGGGAGGGTGAGGAGAGCGAGAGTGGGGGCGAAGAAGAGAGGGGGTGAAAGTGAGTGGGGTGACAGTGAAGGGTAGGAGGGGAAAGGAGAGAAGGATAGACGTGAGAGAAAGTGGGATGGGGGGGTGGTGAGGTGAGAGAGGGAGTTGGATGAGAGTGAGTGGAGTAGAGGCGAGAATAAAGTGGATGGGGATGAGAGGAGATGGGAGTGGTGGAGGTCAACCACATGAGGAGGAGGAGGGAAGAAAAAGGGAGGGGGAGGGAGGAGGTGAGAGGAGGGGGAGGGAGAAAGGAGTGAGTGGAGATGACGTCACACTCCTCTACTGCCTCTCGCCTTACCTCCGCGGAGAAGAGGGAGGGGAGGGAGGGAGGGAGGGGAGGGAGGGGAGGGAGGGAGGGAGGGAGGGAAGGGAGGGAAGTAGGGAGGGAAGGAGGAACAGGTGTATCAGTAGGGAAGGAGGGACAGTAATACCAGGAAGTAGGAAGGAAGGAAGGAGGAAGAGAAGGAAGGGAGGGGAAATAGGGTTTGAGGTGAAGCAAGTAGTGTAGAGAGAGAAGCAGTAAATAAACACAAAGGAGATACTCAAGGGAGGGAGAGGGAGGGAGAGGGAAGAGAGAGGGAGAGAGAGGGAGGGAGGGAGAGGGAGGGGAGAAGGAGGGTGATGGAAGGTAAAGTAGACTACAGAGATCAAAGTTCTCAGCGCTCCAAGAAAATACTCCACACCGAAGGCAGAGGAATGTGGGAAGGAGGAGGAGGGAGAGGAGAGTGGGAAAGGGGTATTGGAGGGAATGTGGAGATGGGTGAGGGGATTTAGAGTTAGTTGGGGAGATTTAGAGCGAGTTGGGAGGGATTTAGGGGAGGAGTGAGGGAAACAAATGGGGAATGTTTGTAAGTGTCTAAATGGAGCGACAACATCATCAGGCAAAGACGTTCATCAAGTGTGTTTACAATATCAGAGTGACACTTGATTTAGGTTATGAATTCAATAAAACCACTCGAGTGTCAGTCAGGAACCTCGTTAGACTCTAGGTAGTGTCAGCCGAAAATTCCATCATCAGCTAAGAATTTCGTCAGCATCTATGAAGAGTCAGCACAGAACTTAACACTGAATGCAAGTTCTACCAAAAATCCCCCACAAGAACTCAGAACCATAGCCCACGACTCAAATTAGTTTCAGGACTTTACCAATAATATTTCCCAGGTTTTATATATCGTATCTTTCCTTAGAACAAACACAAAATTCCCCTCGTCGGAAATAATCAATCGGGAACTGAATTTTTTTTTATCATTTCACGGGATTGCTATGAAGAACTAGATCACTAAACACAGAATCCAATTGATGTGAGGTGATGTCCCTTTCTTCCCTAGTTGTAACCTTTCCCTCTGACTTTCTCAACACCATAAATACACAGGAGTTCTACACGATAACACTCCCAGTACTGTAGCATATGAACACTGTAGCTATTTCCATTCTCAACTCATACATGGATAGAACCATAGATATATTCTACCCAACACCACTCGCATACCCTTGTAGATAAAAGTCAATCAGCGAACCATCTTCATATCTGAGGCGTTGGCGACGACAGTTCTCCATTCTAAACATTCTCGGGCTGTTTTCATCAATCCTCTAAGGTTTTGTATCTCTTGGAACCCATAAATAACTATAGGATATTCAATTTTCCACATACTATACTTTTGAACCTATATATAAAGACCTCTGCATTAGTCATCCTTGTCACTTCACACACAGCACCTGCACAGAGACCTTCTACTCATTACCAAGCATAACACAATCTACTTATCTGCATATATTAAGTCACCTTGAAGATCTGTCTACTCTTATCAACACACAAGCTTTACAAGACCCAAACCATAAATAAATCTTGCATCTTCACCATCAGATAAATAAAATGTCTTTCAATATAAGGAATAAGAACTATGATTACAATGTCAGACACACACTGTATGTTTTAAATAAATAAATAAATAAAATCACTTGAACAACTCCACCCTAGTTTATTTCACCTAATGATTTGAGGGGGATGAGGTTAGATTATGTAATGCTTAGATAGGATAGGTTAGGTTATGTTAGTTTAGGTCAGGTTAATCTTTAGGTAAAATAAGCTGGAGCGGAGATTCTTCAGGTAATACAAAATAATCCCTCCCAATTCAACCTATTCACATCAGGTATACACTATAAACCTTTGGCAATAAGTTACTGCACCTGATACATAAATTTGTAAACTGTCATGGTAGGAGCTCCAGGGTATAACTCAAGAGAAGTGGTCAAATAAACAGCTCAACTTACCAGAGAGTATAGCTGCTCTCTCCTTCCTCCAGTCCGGGCCAGTCTCCCCCTCCAGCCGAGATCTGTGATGCAAATAAATGGTGAGCTTAGCTAAAGGTCACACAGGCTGGCATTGTCAACATTTCTCCATTACTAGTGGTATCCTTACTGGGAATAGTCATGTACAGTTTTATACACACAGGAATATATAGTGTGGGTGTGTGTGTGTGTGTGTGTGTGTGTGTGTGTGTTTTCTTTGTAGCTTTATCAGTTGGTCTGGGAATTATTGCTGATACAGTATATATTTCCTACAACACCTGGAAGAGAAATACAGACATACAGCATACAGTATGGTGTATAATATTCATCCCACTGTACCAACACACTTTAAAGAGGTGTGGCACTGGGTCAACTGTGGTGCCGGGCTGAATGGAATATAAAGCAGACGAGTTAGACTCTTTTTCGGGGACAGAAGAGGATTTACCAGATATGCATACAAAAGGGGGATCTGAACCTCCCCTTAGTCAGAGTTTTAGTGTTGGATACCCTTACAAACCTTCCTCAGAAACAAAAGACATTATAATACCTTAATATACTGTACAGGTAATTGATATGGTAAATAATTATGGTAATATATATACAGGCATAGCATACGTATTATAATTACCCTCACTCTAAAACATTAAACCCAAAGCTGTACCATTTCTTAAACTAAATTCCCAATGGTCTGGATAAATAATTCTGTATTTAGTTAACAACATCCCGACAGAGGAAATATATAAATATATATACAGCAGCGTATACTAAATTTCGTGTATTGATCTCGGAGACAAACAAACTTCGACAGAAAAGAACTTTAGTTACAACTCAAGACTCCGTTTTTTTTTTTTGAGGTTCTGTTCCCCGGATCCATCCTTCATAAATATGGAAATTGGAGAGAGATAACAAAGAGACAGAGAGAATTTACGATCCACCACTCGACATCACCAGTAAAAATGCGTAATCTCTGGGGACGATAAATGAAAAACACAAGTGAAATTTATCCAACAGCATAACAAATTCTCGGTATACTAAAAACAACAAGAGTTTAATTTACTTATGAAAAAGTCATACCGAGTGGGAAGAGTCATACACCGAGTGATTTTGATTATGCTACGGACGTCATCACCAGAGGGCGCAGAGTTAATTAGTGGCAGAGATGCTTGGAGGCAGAATCTATATACGGTAATGCCTCAACTCGCGGAGGGAATGAGGGGTTAAGTGTTTCAAGTGATGCTATGACCGGCAAGAGTACGAGGGGGGAGGGAGGGAGGGAGGGGGGAGGAGAGAGGGAGAGAGAGAGAGAGAGATTGCACAGGGGTCAAAATAACACATCCAAGGAAGATTTACTTTGCATATTTGCTTCAAAGGTGAAAACATGAGGAAGGTATTTGAGAGAAGAGTGATTCTATTTCCTGTTTTTGATCTTATTCTATACTTTCATAACCACTTCTTTGTTCTTCTATTTCCTTTCCTTTACTGAGAAGTTGAAGTGGAGGAAATATAACCCAAGAGATGAGACATAGACCCAGATATGTTGTATATATCGTCTCTTTAAGTTCTAGACATTACAAGACATTCAAAGACAGATATTTCAGGGTCCTCTCAAAGACAATTACAGAGAAAAACAGACAGACATTTTAGGGTCCTTTATTTTACTAGATTGTCCTTTAATTTACTAAACATTATATTATTCTATCTAAATTCACTTTCTTTAGTTAAATCAGTCAAACAAATAAATTTTCGAGGGTAAATATACTAATTATGTTTCCCCAAAAATTACCACTGAATGAAATATAATCAATAATTTCTCTATACATTTTCAGAATTATTTACACATGATAAATTTTTTTGATGGGGTTAATTTTATATAACTTTTGATATTATTTGGTTTTTATGTGGTGATGCGAATAAACCAGCCATATTAACTCAAGTATCCACAGTTGATCATAATGAAGACTTTTAAATGACTGTGGATGACATGGATTCGTTTTCAATAGTTAATGTGTAAGCTGATGATGTGTGGGTATTTCTATGTTGGTTTAAGTCTGTTCCACTTGCTCTCTTTATCATTTTCTCTCTATCTCCTCTCTTCTTTATGGTGTCTGTGCCTCCTTTGATCTATCTAATAAAGCATAAAGAAAGAAAGAAAGAAAGAAAGAGAAAGAGAGAGAAAGAGAAGGTTGAAGGTTGAATCCTCCTCCAACCCCCTCAGTATTAGATTTGAATCCTACACTTAGAAGTCAAGACCAAGTTCATTGCTATTCAAGTCTAAGTTCAAGACCCTGGATAACTTTCGGAGTTGTTTCATAACCGGAGCCCAAGTCAAGTCACTGAATCCCATTGTATGTAAATGATACTATTACGCTAAAATGTGATCATAGTCATGTTATCTAAACCATTTTCAAGTACATAGGAGCAACAGTTAGGTGATAAACGCACAATTAATAAGAAACATAGACGAGGGACGCAGATTGTTTGTGGACCCTTAAGATATACAGAGTGACTCGTCCAATCAATACTGTACTAATTAGAAACGTGATGCATTCTCTTGTTTATCATTGGCTCTTTTGTCCATTTCATGAAGAGAAGTTCTCAAGGACTTGGGGCGAGGAACCCGGCCAAGTGACAGAGTGTAAGACCCAGACCAGGTCCCAAGTGCTTGTGCTTGACATCAAGATTAGACCAAGTCATTGTAGATTCCTCCTCAAGACTGGCCACGAATCTAAGACAACTCTTGTATATTTCAACACTGCCTCCACCATAATTTTAGATGTTTCATATATATATATATATGTAAATTATTGTTCTTACTACTGTGATATGTCAGAATTGCTCCTACAGGCACAGTAGTTCCGTTCCATCTCTGCTTCGTGTAGTCACCTCAAACACTCTCCGACTCTCCCCATTTATTAAAGCTTTCAAGGCCCCACTTCTTCTTTACTCCAGTCTATTGTTAGCTTCAGTTATCTACCTCCCTTCTGTTCAACAATACTCACAGGTACTCAAGTTGATTCACAGCCTCCAGCTCTTCTCCATTCTATGCACTATTACTCAAACATTATCCTTGTTTTAAATACCACTGCATTGCTCTTTCCAGGATTTACTTTTAACTTTCTATAGCAAGTTTCACCATAATATTTTACCACTCACTCTAATTCACCTTCAGACTTTGCCAGTAACTCAGCATCACAGGTAAAGACCCAGTGGAACAACTTCCACTGTGTCATCATGTCTATTTTATTCTCCAGTCAACCAATTTCATTATTCATATCGTGTATTGCTTCAGCATACATCCCTCACACACTCCCCCAGATATTTTGAAACACTCACTCACTACAATCAATTCTCACTCAATCACTATTCCCATTATGAAAACTCACAACAGCTTTCAATGGTCTTGTGTACACTGCACCCTATATAAGGCCAGCAGTCCTCACAAGGCCTTTCTATTTACTTAACGACATGCTTTCTCTAGAACCATAAATGCAGCAAATACTTTCACCTTTTTGACTAAACTTCTCTTTACTGTTTACCTTAGTACTTGTATCTAATCAATTTACCTGCATGTACCTTCCTCTTCCTTTACTAAACCATCAAATTTCTCAACCTATCCATACTGTAAGCTGTCACCATGCACAACTGTTCACTACCCTGCCACATACTCTCCTGAAGACACTAACACACCCTATAGTTCTTAAACCTATTCTTATATAACGAAATAATCTATTCATTTCCCTAAACTCCGGTATGATTATTTTATTTACATCTGTCGTTTTGTTTCCTCATCTCTGTTATGTAATCAGGATTTATTAAATTTTTTACCTCGTGTGGGATAAATGTGTACATCATCCTCCTCCTCCTCCTACTGAGTCAAGTTCTTCAAGGGTAAATGGTACTTTATTAACATATATTCTGGTTTGTAATTTGTCTTCAGTATAATTTACCTGTGTATGACATATATTGTTTGATAATTAATTGCAAATGTTTGGTAATTGATGTAACTTCATTTTGTCACTTGTCTACGCTCCTTGTGATATTTTGACATTAAATTTTCACTCATAAGTTTCTATAATTATTCTGCTCTTCTTTTAGTTTTCCAAAATACTGTAGTTTAATTTATGTTTATGGGTTTTTTCTGTGTACAGTTTTCCTTATCTTTCATATCAAAGTTTCAGAACTGAAGAAAAATTTACTTAGTTTTCTTTCTGAGTTGCACCTCTTATGTATACATCCGCCGGTGTGTAAACTGTACCTAGGAATGGTCTCCCTCTCTTTTTATATAAATTCCTAAGCAAGTATACAGTAAAGTTCTCTTGTACACATTTCGTATGTTTATGTAACGTCCCAACAGTTGATATTTTTATACAATCTACCTATACAGTACACAAATTCTTATAAATGTTCACAGTACTGTATTAATTTCTGACAATGACTGAGAACAAGACATCAGCTACAGTTCGTATTATTATAGGTATTGTTGTGAGAGGATTGACACATTATTCATTTTGTTCCTCAATACACCCAGGTGAAACGTACAACATCATCTTTGTCTCAGAAATCCTTGTCATATTTACTTGTATTTTAATTCATAATCGTTGATAATAAAGGATACAAAACTCTGCATCTCCAGTGGCAAGTAACTATGGAGACTCACACTCCACCACTCCACCAGCTACCATATTCATCTGATCATATTTACTCTTTTGTCCTGAGCTCACAAAAGGATGTGTGGCAGAGAAACGTTAAGTGACATCCTTGCAGAAATTTAATGAAGGGTGGAATGACGTGCTAGAAGAATCTCACTACCACGATGAGAACCACGCAAAAATTCCACCGTCCGAAGAGGCACTCGCCGGAAGTTTGCCGTCGGTAAGTGGCACCCTTGTGGACGCTCGGTGATCTGGTGTGCCGAACCCAGGAATATAAATATGGAGTGAAATAACAACTTTCTCATATAGAGAGCGAGGCACCTTACAGATCCTCACCATTATTGAGAGTGATACCTACGATGATGAATACTAAATGAAAGTGGCGCAGAAGTTCACCATCGAGAAGACTGGTGTGTGTGTGTGTGTGTGTGTGTGTGTGTGTGTGTGTGTGTGTGTGTGTGTGTGTGTGTGTGTGTGTGTGTGTGTGGCAGATTCTAGTCCTTAATAAATTAGTATACGTACATCTTCCCCGAGCCTCTGACGTCCATTATTGATTTTCCGAGACCAGCGTGAGTACCCGATGATCTGGCTGCCCGTATCTCGCAACTTACACTAATTAAACGCTATTCCACTGATTGTACTTATTTATATCACTCTAGGGGACAGTTCAGTATCTCTCCAATTGGTAGTTACGAATCTCTCTAATTGGCACTTACGAATCTCTCTAATTGGCAGTTCAGTATCTCTTTTATATAGCAGATGTCATACACAACTATAGTATGTCCCTATCACTACCCAACCCAACCCAACCAAATTAAAACCAACCCAACTTAACCCAACCCAACTTAACCCAACCAACCCAACCCAACTTAACCCAACCAACCCAACCCAACCCAACCCAACCCAACTTAACCCAACCCAAACTACCATAACCTAACCACAAGTGTTATACTCAAGAGACAGAAGGAGTGAACACAAACATAAAGAGCCACTCAAGATATTCATGGCTCACGGAGTTCTCGGAATAATCTCTCAGGACCACCCCATTGGACAGAGCAGCAGGTCATGTCCGACACATAAACACAGAAGTACATCCTGTATTTCATCATCATCATCATCATCATCATCATCATCATCATCATCATCATCATCATCATCACCATTGCAAATTCACTTACGTAACGTCCACATCAATCATTTGTTTCCCTCAATTCTCTCAACTGTTATGGATTTCGATGAATTATTCCCTCCATTATTTCGTCCTCATTACTAACAACTTCACATCACAACCCCAGGAGACAAAGAATATTTTTTATGAGTTATTGTAATTCCCAACCAGCCTATATCACAGCACCCCTAACTTGATAAAATTACAACCCAAATCACATGAACACGGTAACACAATCTACATCACAACACCCCTAAACTGATAAAATTACAACCCAAATGACACAATAATTAATAACCTAACTTGACATACCATTACAACCCAAATATCACAATAAGTAATAACTCACACACACACAACCATTTCACTCCACAATAACAAATGCTGGAGAGTAATTAATATTCTGATGTAATATAAGAACAAAAATCGATATAAAATGCAATACAGTGAAATTTCTAGATGAACTATATGTGAAGGAAAGCCCTGTTATATCGAGGGTCAATTAGATGCGGAATCCCCATCTAACGAACTATAATTAGGATGTGAACGAACATTAGACTGAGCTCTGTTGCAGGGACGTTTCACTGTATTCTAAATAACACAAAGAATATAAGTCAATGAATCCAGCATATCAGCGACGCACAATTCTGAACTAATTCACACTGGCTGGACTAGGGGGAGAGAAGGTACCTCTGGGGTCTAAAATCTCCAAGACTGTACTATATATATACACCAAACTCTAATGTACTGTAGTCTAAAAAAATTGATGTCGACGAGTAGAATGCAGGATCATCAACTCAAATTTCAAAATGATAAATTCCGGCTTAAATTTTAAACTAAGTACAGAATTCATGAAAAACAAAGCATTAAAATGAAAAATACAGCAGTGGTTGATTCCGATATAGTACCCATTTTGTATTGAAGTTGTGTAATGACTGATGGCAGGAATTGACAACATACTGTAGATACTGTGTACAGGTAAGAGACAAAATCCCAAATTCATGGATGAAAAATAAGTTGAAATAAGTTAGTGTAAAAAAAATAAAATATTGAAAAAACTAAGTTATTTTAATTATTGTTGGATGGACTTGGTAATTAATTTATAAATGAATATAAATAACAAGTACAGGAGTCGTAATAAAGAAATACTATAACTAAAAAAACACATGATTAATATTCTAAAACAATAAGAGCTCATTTGACTTCACAGTGAAAGTAAGATGGAGTATTAATTCTCAACTTATTAAATCAAATATGTAAATTATAAAGAGGAGATGACTTTAAAAAAATATGTCTTAAATTACAAGGAAATTAAAAAGTTATATTCCGAGTTAACACTTAGCTTGACACGGCATGTAAGATGTGACACTCGTACGCACCTGGGACTCAAGATGTCCTTAGCTCGAGGTCCATAGCGGCTCTGAAGTACCGACGACCACGCATCCTGGTCACTGGCCGTCCGAGTGCTGCTGACACCCTCCTCACTCTCCCTCTCTTCCATCTCACTTGACCTGTCCTCTCTCTCACTTGACCTGTCCTCCCTCTCGCTTGACCTGTCTTCCCTCTCACTCGACCTGTCCTCCCTCTCGCTTGACCTCTCCTCCCTCTCGCTTGACCTCTCCTCAGTCCCGTCATAGTCATCACTGCTTGACACACCACGTGGGGACCTGCAAGAGATAAGGTACGTTCATTAATTATGGGTGTGTGTGTGTGTGTGTGTGTGTGTGTGTGTGTGTGTGTGTGTGTGTGTGTGTGTGTGTGACCATACCAACACATCTACTGAACCTCTAATATCTTACATCAAGTCACCACAACACTCAGGAGCTTCCATCATTAACTCTGACCTCGTGACCAATCCAGTGGCTGATGGTTATCCTACACATGTGCCAAATATCACAGTAATTGACCTATCTCTGTCCCCTATACACCTTCAGAAAGAATAATTAATTTTCTTAGGAACTGATTGGCACCTCTGAATCATGATGCCACACTGGGAAATTTACAACCATACTTTTTTTTCATTAATGTACAGTCACGAAAATACCGAGATTCATACTTGTGAATCCAGAGCATTTACGGACACAATAAAGCATCAGTCTCTACTGCTTCGGGTTCAAGAGTCTGAATCTCGAGGTTCGTGGAGCCGCAAAAGACGAGACAGGGCCTTTGATCGTGACTGTTTATCAATCATTGCGAAGTAAATATTGGTTGTGAATTCTACAGATGTGTCAACGTGGCTTCTAACCATCAACCAATCAACTTCAACTAATTGTATCGGTTATTATAAAAGCCAAAAATGATCAGTACAGTACATAGTCAATGGATGAAATGGTCACCTAGATACTGTAGTGTACAATATCATGGTGGTTTTCCTCCTCGTGTACAGTCCAGTTATAGGGGATTCTTCATGTCTCTATCCTCACGTCCAGAAGGCTACTGGTGTCAAAATGAACAGAATTAAGAACAGGATAAGGGTTTCTAATTTTCTTCATCATCACCAGAACCTACATACACCACACCACTGTACCTACACTGTCTATATTTATACTGTGCTCTATACTGTACCACCATAGTCAATATAGTATACTGTATATATGCCTATTCAATTTTAACCTGCATGATAATTTTATTTTACTCTTATGTAGCTGTAATAGTAGAGTAGTAGTAGTAGTATAGTAGTTGTAGTAGTAGTAGTAGTAGTAACCAAGTAGACTTATGAGGAAGGAGAGACGTTCTTCCTAGATAAGTATTAACATATAGATACTTTATGTCAGTGTCTGGTGTGTTATAATACTAAAAGAAATAAAAAACATCTAACATGACCATAACTTTATACATTATTATCATTCCTCCTAATTTATATATATTACCAAATTTTATTAACCTGAAATCTAAAAAAAAAAAAAAAAAGTTGAATGACAAAATAAAACAAAAGTGCTGGTGTTTCAATTATCGTCAATATTCATGTTTTAAAGATACATTCCCTCATTTGTGCTGTAAACAATGAATATAAATTAGTTTATTGTTAACAAGTTTTTTTTTTTTATTATGGAATTGTATTGATAAAATGATCCTGAACTGAACACAATCTATGATGAGTGTTCATATTGGTGTTGGATATTGTTTTATTTCCACAATGGGATGATTAAAGTTTGTTATAAAACATTAAATCACACACACGCAAAGAAATAATTAGTATATCCTTGAAATATAAACAATCCACTTTAGTTTATTTTGTTTACTTTTTATTTACAGTAATTATTTTTATTTATTGATTGATTTTTATTTTATTCAGAGGGATTATTTTTGTCCAGGTGATCTGTTCCTCCTGCCGGGGCACCTCACCTGGTTGTTACTCTCTCACAGGAGCTTCCTAAGGTTCTATACTGATAATTTCAAAGGCATTAAATCTCTTATAAAGCCAAAGATGGATCACATACTGGTGGTCTGTATGTATAGGTGGAGGTGGTAAAAATGTATAAATACCCTGTACTATTTTGTATTGTATTGCAAAAAGGAAAACTAAGCTCTGAAAGATAATTTGAATTTAAAAATGTAAGAATATTTGTGTAATACTCACCTCAAGTCCAGCTTAGATATATGAGAAGATTTCCAGTCATGTTTGGGAGGAGAAGTGGGTCTTCCATCATCAGACCTAACCAATAACGGGGGAATACCGTCCCCCTTACAGGGTGAGTTTGGCCGGGGCTCACCCTTGCATGGAGAGGAGGCTGGTGAGCGGTTTTTAGAGAAGCTCTGGAACCAATTCTTGTGCCTGGCAATGAGCTCCTGGTGTTGCTCGTGGGTTGAGAACTTCCTTTCCAGACTTTCAGGCTTGGCTGGCTTCTCAGGCCTATGTCTCCTTAGTTCTGAGGCAGACAGTTGCTCCGACTTGACTGACTCGGGTTTAGAGGCCAACTTGGAGTCGGCGACTTTGCCTGGAGGCCAGCGACGGGGCGGGTCGGACTCTGTGCTGGAGGTCGAGAGGGAACGACTGGAAGCAGAACCTGGCCGACGGAGCCCCAGATTTGCCATGCCCAACCCCATGCCCACGGGCCCCACACCGTCCTGGTGGGTGTGACCGTTGGTGGTGCGGGCCGGGCTGGGTGACGTGGAACGGGATGATGAGGAAGAAGCCTCTCCCGCTGACCTGGCAGGAGAGACAGAATCCCCTCGAGGGCTTCTGCCACGACCCTGCTCCTCACTGCCCAGAGTATCCCCCAATGTCCGCCTCAGGTGGTGTGTGGTCACGCCCGGTCGTGCGGTGGTGGTGGTGGTAGTGGTGGTGGTGGTTGTCGTTGTGGTGGGGAAAGATGACTTCTTGGCTTCTGTTGTGCCAGGGTCAATCTTGGTCTCAAATTTGGACACTACCTTAACCTCCGGCTTTACCTCAGTCTTAGTCAAGGAGGCCGATGGTATTGCCTTAACTGGGGCAACTACTTTGGGCTGGGCAGAGTCTCCCTGACCCATCTTTTCAAAGAGGGCGCGGGCATTGTTGAAGCGGGCCAGGTGGGACTCTGTGCGGACCACGGTAGCATACGAGGGCCCGTCGCCTCCACCCGCAGTGCTGACGGTGGTGGTGGACGCCTCTTCTTCAGGGGCGGCCCGACTTCCACCACCTCCACCACTACCCTGGAACATGCCGGCGATCTTGGAGACCTTGGATGACGTGGAGGCCCGACTGCGACCCTCCTCCACCACCCCCTGCAACAACACAACCAGATTAATATTCTCTCCCATTAATAAACAGAATATCTACCCACAACAACTCAACACAGGTACCCAGCATTGTGTAACATAAACATTAATAAAGGTACAAATTAGGTACCAACAAAGATACAGTACAGTTTATAGAATCATTGGATGCAGTATCATGATGTTTGTGCCTTAACCTTGATATGAATGGAAATATATCTTAAAACTACTACATCTTGTCATGTACAGTCGTGAATAAAAGTCCTGCTCAGGTCCAAAGCATTTATGGACAGAATAATGTATCAGTCTACTGCTTCGGGTTCATTAGTCTGAATCTCAGGGTTTGTGGTTCAGGAGGAGAGGTGACAGGATTTTTGTTTGTGACTGTACACATATATATATATATACTGTACTGCAGTAGGTGTTATGTTAACCCTCAATAGTGATTATCGGTGGTCGACTGAATACAGCAGTTGCCTCCTGTTCCTGAGGTCAATGGTTCAATCACTCCCAGTTCACCCAGCTGTAAATGGGTAACTAAGTTTTCAACGTCGGGGACTGATTACAGTACCGGCCATGGTGCATCCTTTGTACCGAAGGCCTATGGGACCCACTTTCACTTTTTACAGTCAGTAGAGCGAGGCGTCATGCTCACAGCTATACAACATGAGTCCTTCACTTGACACACGCACAAAATTCCAATAACAATAAAACAAATAATGACTAGAAATAAATACAACGATTTCCCATCACTATTTCCAGTAACACTCGCCCAAACTTCTTGTACACTACAGTACCACAGTATCGTTCACTGATTAATAAAATAAACAGACAAACACCAAACCAGTTTCAAAACATTTAAAATCCCAACTAACAAACAATATATATATATACTAGTTTGCAGTAACAATTGCAAGGCCTAAATCTAACTATGATAAAATACTCGCATAATTAAGCCTGTTGTTAAAGGAGGAACACGTCCCTCCCTCCTACACTGTGTCATAACCAAGGGGCCATAATCTGAACAATAACAAATAAAATAATAATACTCAAGACTTTATTGTTACTACACACTAAATATCATTATAATCCACCAATAATTGTCTTAGATATGTTCAAGTATAATGAAGAGCCTGCATATGCCAAGTACTTGTCAACATTAGTCAACAAAGAATCGACCTTTTGGTTAAGTCTACTTAGGTTAGGTCAAATCTAGTTACATTAGGTTAAATCTAGTTAGGTTAGTTTATTTTTAGTATAATTAGATTAGATAACATTAACCTCCCAGTCTAGTAAGAGCCTGATCACCTCTCTTGTTATCTACACTACACCAACAGGCACACACACGAGTCACCCCTCACCTACAAGTTTTCTCTCAGGCCAGGTAGAGAACGGTGTGTACGGGCCGCAGATTTCCTCATGCGGTAGTCAGTTCAACGACCGCAGGAGGCCGGGAGGGAGGTGTGAGGCGGTCTACTCCTGCTGCCTGACTCCAAGTGACCGTGTGTGTGTTAATCCCTCCTGTACCTGGTTAATCCCCATTTTACACCTTATTAATCCCTCCTACACCTGATTAATCCTTCCTACACCCGATTATTCCCTACTGTACCTAATTAATCCTTCCTGTCCCTGGTTAATCCTCTTTTGTACCTGATTAATCCTTCCTGGACCTTATCAATCCCCCCTACACCTGATTAATCCTTCCTGCACCCGATTAATCCTTCCTGCACCTGATTATTCCCCCGTGCACCTAATTAATCCCTCCTGCACCTGATTAATCCCCTCCTGAAGCGGATTACGAGGATATGGGCGGATTTTTCCCATTCCTTTTCATCACGTGTGAAGTAAATGGATTCTTTTGTCTATTCTTTGTAAATCTCTGAGCGGATTAACCAGATTTCTGACGTATTAAAAAATCCCAGATAAATCCTCGCTGAATTTGGATTACAAGAAAATCTGGCATGCTTAAGTTCTTTATAATAAACCCTTTGAGTACGATGACTAAACCCCTTCAATTCAATAAATCAACCCCTTGAGTACAATGGTTTAACCCCTTGAGGATGATGTCATTGTACCCGGTGGATTACAATATCGTATTCAAGGGGCAAAGTCATCATAAGAAAGTGTTTAAATAATCGTACTCATAAGGTTTAGTTATCGTACTCAAGGGGGTTAAGTCATCGTACTCAAGGGGGTTAAGTCATCGTACTCAAGGGGGTTAAGTCATCGTACTCAAGAGCACAAGAAATACCGAATTACATTACTGTATTTTACACTACGAATAAAATAAATAATAATTAAAATGATAATCAGTAAAAGATAAATCTAATTACACTGAGGTAAAAATAATTATGTAACATTATATTAGTTAAATAATATACATAATACAATATAACACCAATAAGATCTTAGTTATTGAAGCGTAGTAATTCAGTACAACATCACTAAAACACATCAACGTCGTCAACATCTGGTTCTGAGAAAAGCTGAGGAGGATTTTATTGAGACCGGCTGAGACCCGACAAACTGATAGACATTGCAATCTTGGGTGTAGTTCTACCTCCCCACCTGCTTCTCCACCCCTCTTCCCTCTCCCCCACCCTCCACCTCTCCCTCTCCTCCACTCTTCCCTCTCCCCCACCACCCCCATCTACCACCCTCCACCTCTCCCTCTCCTCCACTCTTCCCTCCCTCCCTCTCACAACCCAACACCAGTACCGTAATATATCTGCAATTTTAGACAATTTTCCAATCTAATATTCAATCAAGTACTCAATCATCCTATCTTGTGCCGTGGGTCCCAAATTGGCCGGCTCTTGGTGGTGAAATGGCAACTACTTCTGCCCCACATATAGTAGCCAGGGTTCGAAGCCTAACTGGTAGAGAGAGGGAATGAAATCAAGAATGTGTGAATGTTTCTATGCAAATTTTCTCTGTTTATATTTCAACATTAACTTTATTAACTGAGATAAACCAACAAAATATCATTACTGAGATTATGTTCTAGGTACCAAATCATGTGTTCAGTTACCCACACAAATTTGCGTATTATTTACAAGGTTATAATAATGTTAAAAATGTTTACTGTTTATATTAGTAGATAGATATAGTTAAATTAAGGTTAAATATTGATAATGTATGTGGTTTAGAAAATGTCAATTCGAATTTTCCTCCATTTCCTGAGCGTCATTTCACATCATTTAGGCAATTATCAGTAGAATGAGTAAAATAAGTAAAAGTATTCTAACATCTCGAATAAGGATAGAAAAATAGGACAATTAAACCTACAGACTTCAGATCACCATGAGATGTATAGAGGAATGTAAAACACCTTCCCACCAAGACCATCAGTTGATATATTTAGCGGGAAATACAACAGCCTCGGCCAGCTGCTCATATAAGAACAGAAGTCTTATTTCTTGTTATGTTTTACTGTAACTGAGTCTATGTCAAGATTCACAAGAGTTCGTAAATCCAAAGAGCTTTTCACGTAACTGGATATAAAAAGAATATATATTATGGTAGAGTTTTAATATATATTTTGTATTCGCTTGAGTTAAATGCGTATACTAATCTAGTTAATGGATTTTTTTTTAACTCACGAACATTTAGGACTCTTATTTTGTATCGTAACTTGATTTAAATGCGTTTTCTCATCTAGTTAATGGCATTATTTAACTTTATGAACCTTTGAGAATTAAATTTAGGCTTAAGCGAGCCCAGTTACGACGGGTTCTCAAGGCAGATGTTACGAGACAAAATTAAACTTACAATCCTTTAAAAATCCAATATTAAATAGAAGCTTACGTGGATATAAGACATTTTTACTTCACTTAAGGGAATTGGGGGGAAGATACTTAGAGAATAATGACTGTAGAAGTGATAATACGAGGCGCAGGGAATTCCTAGAGGTGAGAGTACATTCTGGGAACAGCGGGCGTGGCAGGCGGGCGTGGCAGGCGGGCGTGGCACACTATGACCCGCGCCTTCGTCTCACAAGTAGCGGTACATAATTACTGAATCTTTTGTATTTGCTTTATTGGAATTTATTAATCACTGTATCTAACCCAACCTAACCATTTATTGACGAATGATAGTGTGTGTGTGTGTGTGTGTGTGAGGGGGAGTCGACCCTCTTCCTCTCAAGCCATTGGAATCTAATTTACCTCCTCCCCTCCTCCTGTCCTCCCCCTCCTCCCTCCTCTCTCTCCGACCTCCTCTCCCTCTTTCCTCCTCTTCTCTCCCTCACTTTCTTCCTTTCCGCCAATGTTAACTTTCTCTCTCTCTCTCTCTCTCTCTCAAGATCACGTTCATCTACACCACACGTTCTTAAGACAGACATACACACACAGACGAAAGCTAAACGATTGAACACGCGTAGAGAGAGAGAAAGAGAGAGAGAGAGAGAGAGAGAGAGAGAGTCAAGGTGAAAGATAGTTAGGAATGTTGAGAGAGAGAGAGAGAGAGAGAGAGAGAGAGAGAGAGAGAGAGAGAGAGAGAGAGTCAAGGTGAAAGATAGTTAGGAACGTTGAGAGAGAGAGAGAGTGAGAGAGAGAGAACAACGACCACCAGTGTGTATGTCTGGGCACGAACGCACACACACAGGCAAGGAGGGAGTACTGGAACGCGCGCCCTCAGCAGGAAGTGAAACAGTCTTCTAAAAAACCCACAATTACGCTGCTATTTTAAAACACATATTATTCACACTACTGTATAAAACCTTCCTAAGTGAAGTTAATTATGTAATAGATTTTTTTTTTATTAGAATATATTAAGTTTAGTTTATTGGTTGTTTTAAATTAATATATAACATTTGGTCACGTAGTCTCGTCCGGATGAAGGAACCGTGGACACTATCATCTTTCTACCAGGCCAGCCGCACCTCCCTACCAAATTAAAGCTTTTCAAAACTGTATATATAACAACACACACACACACACACACACACACACACACACACACACACTATTATTATTATTTATATATGTGTAGAAACGAATAAAATTATA